GCTGGGGACAAACTGCAACCGAGGTCCCCTTAGCGGGAACTGAACCCGGGTCTCTCTGGACCGCAGGCCGATGCTCTAACCGTTGAGCCAAACCAGCCAGGGCTGAATTCCATCTTTAACCACTGCCTCCCATTTTCTTATTGATGCATTGTCCTATAAGCATGTGTTACCTACCAGTTTGTACTAGATGCTTGCCCCGGGGTAGAGGATACCCTCCTCATGGCGCTCAGAGTCTCGGGGTGTTCGGGGAGCTGTCCTGGGACAGCATCACTGAAGTAAGCTTCCGGGATGAGACGGTAGTAGGTGAAGGAAAGACAGAAGTTTCCAGGTCCAAAGAGCAGCTTATGTGGGGCCGCTGGAGGCGTATGGGGCAGTGGGGAGAGCCTGGTGGGCTTGATAAGGCAAAAGAGGCCAGTGGGGCAGAGGAGAGAGGGTGACAGGGGTCGAAGGATGAGACCAGAGGATCACCGGGGACTGGGTCATACTGCACCTCTAAGCCATGGCAGGGGTTGTAGCTGTTACCATCCATGTAACCGATGCTTATTAGTCTCCTGACCTGTGCTAGGCCTGGAGCGGGTCCAGAGTCACCGAGCCTTCCCTCGAGGTGCCTCGGTCTAGTGGCAGGCTTTGAACACGCAGATGGCCTTTCTGCCAGTGCTGCGATAAAGGTCTAAGTCAGGCCGGGGAAGCACAGAAGGGCTGTCGGACACGAGAAGGCAGTGAGATGAACTGAGTTTTGAAGGGCGAGGAGGATTTTGGCAGGAAGAAGAGAAAGGACATTCCTGGCAGTGGAAACAGGATGAGCAGAGGCGCAGAGATATGAAAAGGCCCCGAGGGTGGGGGGAAATGCCGGCCGCTGGAGTCACAGTGGGCACGGAGACAGAGGCCAGAGAGTCAAGTTCACAGAAGGTTCTGAGACTCAAGGAAGAGTCGAGGTTTCCTGCTGCAGGCAGGCAGTGAGGAGCCGGGACTGGGCTTGAGCAAGAGAGGAAGGCATCTGTGTCAGGTGCGGGGCGGGGTTGGGTAACAGGGAAGGACAGCATGCCACCACTTTCTGTGGGGGTGTGGAGATAGCCTGGCCCGGCCACAGCAGGGGCCGAAGGAGGGGCCCTTTTCAGTCTTGCAGAGGTAGGGCTGTGGAACATGTCCCTCTCTGCGCCCCCCAGTGGGGGCTGGCCTGGTGCCCAGAGCAGGGACGCCAACTTTGAAGACCAGAGGCCCTTTCCCAGAGAGTAAAGATTCCAGCCAGCTGGGCCCATGGTCCGCGTCCAAAGCAAACAGGAAAAGACTACGGTGGGCCAGGCTGGGCCTCTTTCTTTGTTTGGAGAAGGGATTAGGCCAAACGGATTTGTGGGTCTTTCTCCTGCAAGGGTAGGAGGGGGCTGCAGGCCCAGTCAGGGACACGGTGAGATGAAATTCAGGGGGCTGCATGGGTCCTGGGTGCTAGCCTTCAGGGGTACGACACAGAGGGCCTTCCTCGGTAAATTCTAGCCCTGATGCAGGGAACTGGGAGCACATGCTACGTCACCCTTCAGTGTCACCATCCCCTCTGTCACGGGGCCCAAGTGGCAGTCCTGCCCTGGGCACTTGGCTTCCCACTAGTGTCCCTTGGCCATCAGCCCAGGACTGATGAGGGTGGCTGCCAGTCATAGTGGTGGGAAATCCACACCGCCCAGACCAGGCCCCGGGGGCAGGTCTCTAGAGAGAAAGAGGGAACTCCTGAGGGCTAGGAGCGCTCTCCCTCTGAAAGATGGGCACCCAGGCTTCCCTTTTTTTTTTTTTTTTTTTTTTTTTTAATCCTCACCCGAGGATATTTTTCCATTTTTTGTACAGATAGAGTGGGAGGGAGAGAGAGAGAGAGAAACATCGACGTGAAGGGACACATCGAGTGGCTGCCACCCGCACGACCAACCAGGGCCGGGGACAAACTGCAACCGGAGTACGTGCCCTTAGCGGGAACCGAACCCGTGTCTCTCCAGACCGCAGTCCGATGCTCTAACCGCTGAGCCAAACCGGCCAGGGCTGGCTTCCCTTGAAGACCCAGCACGCAGACCCCGGCCTTCGCTGGCCAAGTGACAGGTGTGGCAGCCATTCACTCCTGCAGTTATGCCTGAACGAATTCATCTCTGTGTCAGTTCACACACGTATCCACGGATCAAGCCTTCATGCAGGGGGAGGGAGCGGCAATGAACGAGGTTCTCAGGAGCTGACACGCTGACGGAGCAGGCAGACGTGAGTCCTGAGATGCGTTTGGCCCCAACCAGAGTCCTGCCTGTTGGCTATGAATGGAAGTGTGGGATCACAGAAGGGTCAGAGAGTTCTCCCGGGGCCAGAGTGGGGCGAGGGACAGGAGTAGAGGTGGGCTGGAAAGACTTCACTAAGGTGAGACTCCTGAACTGACTCCTACATTTATTCATGCGCCCATGTGTGCGTTCACTGAACAAGTATGTGTTGAGTGCCTAGGGCTGGGCATGTGCCAAGTGCTGGTAAGCGAAAGCAGCCAAGGCCTACTGTCACAGGGCCTCCAGTCTGTGGGGGAAATAGTCAGGACTCAAGTCATCAACCACACAGATCCAATGGAAAACTCAGAGTTATAGGACTTTGAAAAAGAGGTTTATGATGTTAATGGAGCTAATAAGGGCTTGACCTGGTCAGGGAGATCAGGCATCTTCTCTAAGAAAAATGTGAAGAATGAACAGGAATCAACCAGGGTAAGAAGGGAGAGAAGATGACCCAGGCAGAGGAAACAGCATGTGCAAAGGTCCTGTGGTGAGGGGGCTGGGTGAAGGCCAGAGAGGCTGGAGAACCCAGACAGAGGAGTGTGGTGAGAATGAGGCTGTGCAGTGGGTAGGGGGCTAGCCCTCGAACTTGTGGGTCCCTTTAGAAGATTTGGTCTGGATTTCAAGACTAAAAGGAAGGTTTTAAACAGGATTATCAACGAGTTTGGGTTCTTAGAATTTAGACCAGGGACACTGATAAAAACAAAAGCAGATTTATTGAGGCTCTGCAGAGGTGACAACACTGATAGGGTCCCAGGTTCTGCATGCCTAAGGTGGGGCTTAGGGGTTTTTATGGCTTGGGGACACAGACATTGCTGGGATTAACCAATCAGGGAGTGGGTTAGGAGGCTTTTCCTTTTTTGGAACACTGATGTCCAGGTACATGTCAGCGAAGCAAAGCATTCTGGGATTGTACAACACTTATTATGGGATGCAGGAAGGGACTTTCCCAACCAGATATTGACTTAGTCCCTGTCACTGATGGCTTAGCTTTAGATCTGAAAAACAAATTTAAAAGAAGTCAGAGTCATTTCTGAATCAGGGTTTTATAACTACCTGTTGTCCCAATGGTTTGGCAGGGCTTGACTGGAGAGAGCAGTTCCTGGGAACATTTCAGTAGAAAACAATTGCCCAATTTGTGTGGCGAAGAGGTTCGAGGGGACCTAAGTGGAAGTGGGATGTGGGGAGCCCATGAGGGTGCAGCAGTATCCACATAAACAATGAGAGTGGCTTTGAGCAAGGATGCGGTCAGATCAGGGAATGGGGGGGATTCAATGTGGGGGTGAGGGTCAGGTGGTGTCGAGGTCTGAGAAACTGGACTGGTGGATAAGAAGGATAATAATGAACATCGCGCCCTGGCCGGTTTGGCTCAGCAGTTAGAGTATCAGCCTGCGGACCAGGGGAGTCCCAGGTTCGGTTCCCGCTAAGGGCACGTACCTTGGTTGCAGTTTGTCCCCGGCCCTGGTTGGGGTTTTGCGGATGGCAACCAGTCGATGTGTCTTTCTCATGTCAGTGTTTCTCTTTCTCTCTCCCTCCCTCTCTTCCTTCCACTCTATCTGAACAAAAAATGGAAAAATGTCCTTGGGTGAGGATAAAAAAAATTAATAATAATAATAATAATGAACATTGCTTTCCTCTAAGAGCCTACTTTATTAAGTATGATAGGTCATATCCTCATTTCTACCAAGGATAGGAAAAGAGGCAGTGGGTGAGCTCTGGGTAAGAAAGGAGGGGATGTAGCCCTGGCTGGTTTGACTCAGCGGTTGGAGCATCAGCCTGCAGACCGGGGAGTCCCCGGTTTGATTCTGGCCAAGGGCACGTACCCTGGTTGTGTTTCCCCGGCCCCAGTTGGGGTCATGTGGGTGGCAACCAATCGATGTATTTCTCTCACATCGATGTTTCTCTCTCTCTCTCTCTCTCTCTCTCTTTCTTCCCCTCCCTCTCTCCCTCCCTCCCACTCTATCTGAAGATAAATGGAAAAATATCCTCGGGTGAGGAAAAAGAAAGAAGAAAGAAAGAAAGAAAGAAAGAAAGAAAGAAAGGAAGGAAGGAAGGAAGGAAGGAAGGAAGGAAGGAAGGAAGGAAGGAAGGAAGGAAGGAAGGAAGGAAGGAAGGAGATGCTATTTTGGATCGGCTATGTGGTGTTTAATATCTTTTCTCCTTAAATCTGTTCGATGAACGAGAGACGTAAATGCCATCATCGTGAGGAAAGGGATCTCAGAAAGATAAAGCTACCCCCCTAGCCAACGTCGTGGCTGGTCAAGAGGCTGAGCCTGCACCCGCCCTTCTCTCACAAAAAGGCAAAACAACTCATTTCATTCTACACAGTGAGCTGATCATTGAAGGAAAAGGAAAAGAGGGGGGCACCTGGGGGCCCTCCCTGCTCTAGAGAAATGCAGGGGAGGCTGAGAACAAGTCACCGACTGAGGAGCCCGGGCATCCTTCCAGCTCCAGACCACAGGGGAGCCCCAGTGTGTTCTTGACCCCGAAACCGACTCTCCCCTTCTCTGCACCCCCCACCTCTTGCTCTTGGGAAGTCCTTCCCTCGCTCTAACCTCAATCCCCCTTCTGTGCCTACCATCTCAGCTTGCACACAGATAATGCTGCTCCCCTACCCGCTGGGCCTGCAGCCTGCCCGCTACCCTTCAGCCCTCGGTTGAGCAGTCTCTGGGGCAGTAGCAGCCTGTAACCAGATACTGTTTGCTTTCAGCAGGTGCCCTGTTCCTGGACTTCTTCTCCGGAGCCCAGGCAGAGCGCGCCCCTGCCCAGTCCAGTGACCTTCGCCTGTCTGAGCCCTGGTTAATTTTTGCCCAGTCTGCAGGCTGTGGGGCTCCTCCCCTCTGGGATATAAGCCTGGCCCCCGGCTGACCTGCTCTCTGCCTGCCCTGAGCCTCCCGAGCTCCCTCCCATCCTCACCATGGCCAAGGGCTTCTACATTTCCAAGGGCCTCGGCATCCTGGGCATCGTCCTGGGTATAGCGGCCGTGTGCACGATCATCGCCCTGTCCGTGGTGTATGCCCAAGAGAAGAACAAGAATGTTGAGAGTGCCACCCAGGCCCCCACCAGCACAGCCACCACCCCCACGGCTGCCACCACCTTGGACCAGAGCAAGCCATGGAACCGATACCGCCTCCCCAAGACACTGGAGCCCGACTCCTACCAGGTGACGCTGAGGCCCTACCTCACCGCCAGAGAAAACAATCTGTACATCTTCGAGGGCTCAAGCAGTGTTCACTTCCGGTGCAAGGAGCCCACCAATGTCATCATCATCCACAGCAAGAAGCTCAATTACAGCACCACCGCCCAGGGGCACATGGTGACCCTGCGGACCCTGGAGGGCGATAAGGCCCCTGATATTGACAAGACCGAGCTGGTAGAGGTCACTGAGTACCTGGTGGTGCACCTGAAGGGTGAGCTGAAGGCGGGCAGCCTGTATGAGATGAATGCTACGTTTAAGGGCGAGCTGGCTGATGACCTGGCGGGCTTCTACCGCAGCGAGTACATGGACGGCAGCGAAAAAAAGTGAGTTGGAGCTGGGTCTGCCTGGGGGGCGGGGCAGATCTTCAGTGCTGGGCAGAGCTGGAGCCTGGGGAGCCAAGGAGGGGCTTGGGTTCCAGGCCTCTGAACCTTCTGGAGCCCTCACTGGGCCATTCCTTCATCTGCAGCTCTCGGGGATCAGCCACCAAGAGACAGACCCTTTCCCAGAGGCCTCCCTACCCCAATTAGGGAGTCGGGGATGAGTGATGAAAGCGCCCCTTGTTTAGACAGGAAAACTGAGGCTTAGAGGAGAGAAATGTGGTCTTCCAGGGAATGCAGGATGTGGCCTGCCAGGACTTTGACCCTGAGTCCAGAAGGAGGTCTGCTCTCTCGAGTCAGATGGCCTGTCAGGGCCCGGAGGCTGCCTGGGCATGGTGGGGAGGGCAGGAATGAGGCCAGACCAGCCTTCCATGCACCCCTCCCTTGAATGCCCAGCAACACCCTAAAGCCCCCCTACGAGTGCAGGCATTCCACCGGCAAACCCCTGAACACCCTGGTTTGGGCAGGGTGCTGGCCACGACACAGATGCAGTCTGCAGATGCCCGGAAATCCTTCCCATGCTTCGACGAGCCAGCCATGAAGGCCAGGTTTAACATCACCCTCATCCACCTCAGTAACTACACGGCCCTGTCCAACATGCAGCCCAAAGGTGAGCGGTTCCGTCCTGGGGCCACACAGCCTTGAGAAGCGGGCACCCCAGGGCTGGGGTGCAGGGCGGCGGATGGGGTGCATGCCCATGTGCCTGAATGCTCCCTGCCCAGGTCCCAGTGTCCCGTTTGAGGGAGACCCCGCCTGGAATATCACCGAGTTCCACACCACCCCTGTCATGTCCACATACCTGCTGGCCTACATCGTGTGCGAGTTCACACATGTGGAGGAGTCGAATCCGACGAACAAGGACGTCCTGGTACAAAACTGGGCCCACCTGTCCTGACCAGAATTGGCCTCACCTGAGGGATATTCCTGTTCCTCTTCACCCCTGTCCCAGACCTCGAGTTGTCAGGCCAGTGTGTGAATCCCAGCTCTGAGTCAACTTAGGGGAGTTCTCTGACCCTTGGTTTCTGCATCTGCAAAGTGGGTCCCTCCTCAGGGAGATCCTGACCCATGGGTGCTAGACACACAGATGGTGGTTATGACTGTTGCTGTTCTCCAAAGGCTTGTCCCTAGGACTCAAAGCCCTTCAGAGACCTCCCCACCCGCCCCAGGCCTCTCTTCTGCTAACCAGGCTTCCTGGTTTAACTTAGTCAAAGCCCTGGGACTCGGCCCACCTGCACCAGGACCCGAGAGGGGCCCCGACCTCCCTCCACCCTCTTTGCAGATCCGGATCTGGTCTCGGCCGAGTGCAACCAGTGAGGGCCATGGCATGTACGCCTTGAACGTGACAGGCCCCATCCTACGCTTCTTTGAACAACACTACAACACACCCTACCCCCTCCCAAAATCCGGTGAGTGACGGACCTCGCAGTGGGATGGGGGCAGCACAGGGGGCTCCACATCCAGGGGCCACCCTACCAACCTCCTGGCCTCCCCAGACCAGATCGCTTTGCCCGACTTCAATGCCGGTGCCATGGAGAACTGGGGGCTGGTGACCTACCGGGAGAGCGCTCTGCTGTTTGACCCTGCGTCCTCCTCCAGCAGCAACAAGGAGCGGGTGGTCACCGTGATTGCACATGAGCTGGCTCACCAGGTAGCCGCTCGGCATGGGGAGCGCAGAGAACGAAAGAGGGGGACCCTGGGAGGCGATGGCATGGGTCTTGGCTCTGCCCTCCGCAGCTGAGCAGGGAGGTGTCAGAAGAGTCGCCAGCCCGGGCCTGGCACGTAGGGGCACTCCTGAAGGGTTTCTCTCAGTACCGTTGTGACCACAAGGCCACAGTAGCTTCCGGACTGACCCCCGTCCCCCACAGTGGTTTGGGAACTTGGTGACCGTGGCCTGGTGGAATGACCTGTGGCTGAACGAGGGCTTTGCCTCCTACGTGGAGTACCTGGGCGCCAACAATGCAGAGCCCAGCTGGAACCTGGTGAGCCAGCCGCGCAGGGGCCCTGGGGCCTGGGGTGGGGGTGGGGGAAACCTGGGCCACGCCACCCAGGACAGTCTACTGATGGCCATTGGGGATTTGCAGAAAGACCTCATAGTGCAGAACGAACTGTACCGTGTGATGGCCGTGGATGCCCTGGCTTCCTCCCACCCACTGTCCACCCCTGCCGAGGAGGTCAACACGCCAGCCCAGATCAGTGAGATGTTCGACTCCATCTCCTATAGCAAGGTGCTGCCCTAGCCTTGTCTTAGCCCTGAGACAGTGGGGGCGTGGGGAGGGAGGGAGAGAGGGGCTCATCCCGCAGGGGCCCCACTGCAGCTGGGGCTCCAGGAACATTTATCCCAGCCCGATGGGATCACAGGGTCCTGCTGGCTCAGCACAGCTGTCTGAGTCCTCCCTCTCCCCCAGGGAGCCTCTGTCCTCAGGATGCTCTCCAGCTTCCTGTCTGAGGATGTGTTCAAGGAGGGCCTGGCGGTGAGTGTGCTCGGCCAGCCGTTGGTGGTGGTGGTGGGGGTTCTCCTCCAGCCCCTGCCCCCGCCCCCAGGCCCAGCCTGCCGCAGAGGTGGAGTGGTAGAGCCTGGAGGAAACCAGCTGTGCCTTCACCGGGGCCTGTCTTTCCACAGTCCTATCTCAAAGCCTTTGCCTACAAGAGCACCACCTACCTGGACCTGTGGGACCACCTGCAGAAGGTAGGTGACAGCCAGCCCCCCGAGCCATTCTACTGAGATCCTGGGAGGCTAGAAGTCCCTGGAGGTGCACATGTGTAACGGAATGTGCCTGGCTCCACTGCGTACCAGCCGAGGCAGGCCATTTGGAGCCTTGGTTGGTCATTGGTAACATGAGCACTGTTATGGCTCCTTGAAGGAGGTGGTGTGAAGAAACTGTGGGTCAAGACCCCAGTAGGCGACCGAGCTCCCTGGGGGGAGCTGAGGAATCCGCTCTTAGTGCTCAGGAACTGGGCCCTCACCGTTCCCATGCCCAAGCCTCCTCCGCGGGCAACTCTGGAGCCAGTCATTCAACCTACTCAGCAGTCCCTGGCTGCCCTTTGCCCTCCTGGCCCCTCCCAGGCACGACTTTGTACCCCAGCACCCTCAGCACAAACTGGAACCCTCCCATCCGTCCCAGCCTTGCATCCCTGTCAACTCAGACCTAGAGCAGCCTGTCTGTCTGTGGGGCGAACTCCCTGGTTGCCCCCCTTCCTCTCCTTGGCTGGAGTCTGCCCACTCTCCTTCATCCCCGATCTCTTCCTCACCCTCACAGCTGCCCCACCCCTTCCATGAGGCCCTTCTCAACCCAGCTGCCCCCTCCAGAACCCCATGGCCCAGGCTTCCCCATCCGCTGCTCCCCCACTGTTGCCGTCATCCCTCTAATCCCCTGGTGCCCCAGCCCAAGGCTGGTCTGACTGGGGAAGGGAGACCCGGGGCTTGGTCACAGAGTCACAGCTGGGCTCCAGTGTCTTCATGGCCACCTCCAGCCCAAGTTCCATCTGCCATGAGCCTGGTCCCCCTCCCCCCTCATCGACTCAGTCCCTCCCCTCCACTTCCACTGTCTTCCTTGCCCTGCCTCAGTTTCCCACTGTCCTGCAAAGGTGAGCCGTCCATGCCAGGTGCTCCACCAACTCCATCTCTCCCTCCTGCTCCCTCTTTCCCTAGCTCCCCCCTTCTCAGCCTGCACCCCCTGACATGCTCCTCGGCCCACTTTCTTGCCCTGTTGGTTTTATGTTCTCAGCTATTAACAGACATTGCTGGAGCTTTGTCGCCACTACGAAAGCACCGCCTATGCATGGAAAAAGAAACAGACCTGCGAGTACAGTGATCGCCATCCTAAGCCTGTCCCCAGGCCCCACCTGGGCTTTCCCTCACCTGTGTGTCCCCTTCCAGGCTGTGAACAATCATTCGTCTGTCAAGCTGCCTCAGTCTGTGAGGTCCATCATGGACCGCTGGATCCTGCAGATGGGCTTCCCTGTCATCACTTTGGACACCAAGACAGGGAACATCTCCCAGAAGCACTTCCTCCTTGACCCTGAGTCCATCGTCACCCGCCCCTCAGAATTCAAGTGAGCGCACTGGGGTCACGGGGCGAGTGTCCTAGCGAGGGTTCTGGGGGGCCTGTCCTGCTGTGGTCCCAGCCCCAGTGGCTGTTGGCAGGCTCTCCCTCTTGGGCCAGGAGGTTGAGGGCGCTTGGTGCCCGAGTCAGGCAGAACGTGGGAGACCAGGCAGGGCGGCTCCGCTCTGGTAGTGGCCAGGACCTGCCGTCTCTCACCGCCTGACCTCGGGCCTCTTGTTGCAGCTACCTGTGGATTGTTCACATCTCGTCTCTGAAAAACGGCAACACGCAGAATGACTTCTGGCTGGAGGAAGCCAGCAAAAGTAATCCAGCCCTGCCCTCCTGGACGGCAGCCCCGCCCCGCACTCCAGGCCCCCGGCCCCTGCGCCGGGGATTACAGCAGCCTGGGCTTCCTTAATTATTTCACTCCCCAGATGGAGCCCCTTTCTTTGGTTCTAATCTCTACTCTGCTGTTGCTGCCCAGCTGTGTGACCCTGGGCAAGGTGCCATCCCTGTCTGGTCTCCGTTTCTTTATCTATGAAATGGGGCTAAAACCAATACCTACCCCATTGGATTGTGTGAGGATGAAAGGAGACAATCCACAGGAAATGTTTTAAACAGTGCCTGGCACAGAGTGTTAATCACTCTACTCTGCCAGACACTGAGAAAGCCAAGGTCCAGGCAAGTTGTTCTCTGCCCAGGCCAGGCTGCCGATGAAGGGAAGGAAGACAAGCAGTTAAAATTACCCAGAGCTGTGCTGAGTGTTTTAACAGAGGCATGTATGGCCTCTGGGCTACTTGGGTATAGAGGCCAGGAGCTGGGATTAAGGGAGATTCAACTTCATGGAGAGGTCAGGGAAGACTTCCTGGAGGAGGTGACCTGGGTCTTAGAGAAAAAGTAGCAGTTAGCTAGGCTAATGGTGGCATAGAAAAGTATTTCAGGTAGAAGAAAGAGCAAGTGCAAGGCATAGAGGCAGGAGAGGACGTGGGGCTGAGTAGCAGTCCCTGCAGGATGCAGGAGACACTGACCATGTCCTTGGGCCAGGAGGAGCTGGGCCAGGTGGAAAGTGGGCAAATGATTGTGTGTGACCTGCAGGTATGAAAGGATCCCTTCTGGATGCCAGGAGAAAGGATAGAAGGGTGAAAGGGAGGGCAGGGAGGAGGGGTGCCAACTGGATGGGAGTCTGAGTGGACTGGAGGTGTGAGGGTAGAAATGTCCAGGTAGCTGGCACTGGCCTGGCACATGGAGCCTGTGGGAGGCAGGGTAGGCACTGAGGTTCAGGCATGGCATGTGGTCTGTCTGAGGTCACTAGCCAGCCAGAGGTAGATTGGCTGGGCAGCCTGCTCAACACCCCTTCTCCCCTCCTCCTTGGCATCGCCCGAGAGGCTTATGGGCCAGCTGTTGCTAGGCTGCAGGAGGCTGCTCTTGCTGAGGCCTAGAGAGAAGGGGGTCAAGGGTCAGCCTATGGTCTTCTGAGCAGCCCCATCCCAGCTCTGGTTTCTCCCCACAGTCCAGGATCAGTTCAAAACCACAGGCACTGATTGGGTCCTGCTGAATGTCAATGTGACGGGCTATTACCAGGTGAACTATGACGCAGAGAACTGGAGAAAGATTCAGGATCAGCTGCAGAAAAACCTGTTGGTGGGTGTCTGCCACCCCCACCTCGTCCCCTGCCAGGCCCAGCTCAAGGTCACACCCTGAGGTCACACCCTCTGTTACCCCTTCTAGGTCATCCCCGTCATCAATCGGGCGCAGGTCATCCATGATGCCTTTGACCTGGCCAGGTGAGTGTTCCCTTCCTCCTCAGGCCTCGACTGGCCCTGCCAGGAAGGCCTTGTGACTTGAGCAAGTGTGTTTCCATAGTGAGAACCAGGCACAGTGCTGCAGGCTCCCTGAGCTCCGTGCACCCCTCCCTCGGTTCCCACCCCTCTGGAGAGTGTTAGTGTTGCAGCCCCATTTCCCAGAGAAGGAATCAGACTCAGTTTGAGTGCCTTGCCTGAGGACCCTTGGACAGCCAGACTCAGGCCTGTCCAACTCCACAATCACAGTGAGAGCCAGGATGCTGGGCTAGGCGCTGAAAACATCTGGGAAGGACAGGCCAGATGACATACAGCATGGATAAACAAATATTGGCCACCTGCTGTGCTAAGCTCTTTGATATAAGTGATATCACCCATAGACATGGACATTTACGAACCAAGCGTGCACAGACAGCCTGAGGAGGAGGAGGGAGAAAGGCCCAGATGGCCAAGCAAATCAGAGAAAAGAAAGAACGCAGGCTTTTTGTCTTTTTGAATCTGAATTCTGTCTCTATGGGCTGTGTGGCCATAGACAAGTCACTACACCTCTCTGAGCCTCAGTTTCCTCATCTTGAAATTGGGGATAATAAGCAAGGGGTTGTGATTGGCAATGGGTGAGGGCAGGGCCGGGGCTGGCCTTATTTGTGGAACCACCCAGCACCCCTGTTCCCCACCCCAGTGAACACTGGAGCTGGCTCAGTTGGGGCTTTGGGACCTCAGACTCTAGGAGGGGGCTGGGGTTCCTAGAGAGTATTTGCTGGGGGTGCTAACTCGGTCCTCTGTTTATCCCCCAGTGCCGGCATGGTCCCTGTCACCCTGGCGCTGAACAATACCCTCTTCTTGAATAAAGAGACAGAATACCTGCCCTGGCAGGCCGCCCTGAGCAGCCTGAGCTACTTCAAGCTCATGTTCGACCGCTCTGAGGTCTACAGCTCCATGCAGGTACAGAGGGGCACGGCTGGCTGGGCATGAGGGTCCGTGTGCCTGGGGCCTGAAATTGCACCATGAAGAAGCTCATGGGAAGACTGCCCGGAGTGGACCTGACATAGCACCAGGTCCTTCACGCACGCAGGCTTGGCAGCGTGGTGAGCGCGGGAGGGATGGGGCGAAGGCAGCAGGGACTGGGGGGGTGAGCAGGTTGGGAAGGACAAGGAAAGGGCTCAGACTTCCAGCAGTTTGCCGATTTGGAAGTGGGCACTTGTAGGAAAGGCCGCTGTGGACTTGGGTAACCCTCCTCAGCCCCGTGAACCTCTCTGTGAACCGAGCAGGCACATGTCTGTCTAGCCTCCACACCGGCCGGAGAGGGAGATGCGGGTGTTAACAGCTTTAAAGCAGGGGGTGCTCAGGCTCCCCCTAGGGAGACCAGAAGGAAACGCTGGATCTATAAGATTGTTCGTTGCCTTGTGGTTTATAAGAGACCAAAAAAACCCCAAAACAAAGCCTAAAACACTTAAATGTCCAACAGTTGGCGATTAGTTGACTAGGATATCCATTTGGCGGAATATTATATAGCCATTAGATCATACTTAAAGAGAGCATGTTTTTATTAAACATTTTTCACATTAACTTCCTATTATGCTAAGTGAGGTATTATGGTAAATGAGGTTTTAACTCATTGTAGCTCATTAACCTACCCACCGGGATTCATCTCATCTTCCTAATGTGGTTCCGTCACACTATTGGGTCAACTCAGTGTGTAGCCTTTACTTTGTTGCGATTATTTATTTTTATCCTCACCCGAGGACATTCTTCTATTTTTTTGTTCAGATAGAGTGGGAGGGAGAGAGAGGAAGAGAGAGAGAGAGAGAAACATCGACGTGAAAGGGACACATCGAGTGGCTGCCACCCGCACGACCAACCAGGGCCGGGGACAAACTGCAACCGAGGCACATGCCCTTAGCGGGAACCGAACCCAGGTCTCTCTGGACCACGGGCCAACGCTCTAACCACTGAGCCAAACCGGCCAGGGCTGTTGCGATTATTTAAATAACATTCTCTGCTGAGCCACACAGAGGACTATGCTTATATTCCCTTTTTCCTTCCATCTTTTAAAAATGTGTAAGGTAACACCACAGTTCTGCTTTTTCCCAGAGGCACCCCTGCTTTCTTATAGAACCCCACTTAGCTCTTATGCTAGGAGGCTCTCCTGGCCCGAGCCCTGGGGTTCTTTCTTGAATTTTCTGTCTCAAGGGGGAGCTCCTCTTCCAGGAGTTTTGAGAAAGGGTTCATAAGAGGTGGGTGTTCTGGGCTAGATTGTCGGACATGCTTTCTTTCCCACCTTCACACCGGGGTGAGAGCTTCCCTGGGTTTACACGTTCCTATATTCGAAATTATTCCTGGAAAATGTCCCGTCTTGCTGCACTGATGTCCAGTCGCTGTTGGGAAACCCAGAGCCTGTCTCCTTCCCGGTTCTCTGAATGTGGCCAGTTTCCTCTTCTGGAAGCTGTGGGCTCTTCTCAGTCCTGGTGGACACTTCTCATCCTTTAGCTCTTTCGCTCTGAACAGTTCTGCATTGTTCCTTTGAACGTTCTTCCCCCTTCTGTTTTCCAGCGTGTTGGCTCCTTGTTTTGCCCTCTGGGATTTGCCCACCCTCTCTCCCCCTCAGGTTGTCTTCATTTCTTCTGTCGTATTTGCAAACTTCCAAGGGCTGTTCCTGGCCCCAGTGTCCTGTGCAGTGTCTGCTCTGAAGTCTCAGAGCACAGTCATCACAGGCTTTTCCAGAGTTTTCTTTTCTTCCACTGACTTGTTTCCTCTGCGTCTTCTGTGAGTTTTGGTCTCCTCTTCATTCATTCATTCATTCATTCATTCATTCATTCCTCACCCGAGTATACTTTTCTATTTATCATCAGATAGAGTGGGAGGGAGGGAGAGAGAGAGAAACATCAATGGGATAGAGCCACATCGACTGGCTGCCTCCCGCACAACCCGACCAGGGCCGGGACGAACTGCAACCAAGGTACGTGCCTTTGAGCAGAATTGAACCTGCGACTCATCGGTCCGTGGGCCGACGCTCTAACTGCTGAGCCAAACTGTCCAGGGCTGGTCTCCTCTTTAGAGTTGGGTGCTGAGCTGCCTCTTGGATTTGAGAATGAGGCAATAAAAAGTGATTGGAAGCCCTGTGGGGAGGTGGGGTTTGTGGCCTGCAGGTCTCATTATGGGTTGACTAGAGGGCCAAGTGACTTCTCCCGGGGACCCTCAAAAGTTAGTATCCATGAGCGTGTTCCCTTGAGACCATTCCGTCTTCGGAGCGGGATCCTCTGTTTTGCGAGGCTGGTGGTGCTCTCTTTCTGGGTAAGAGTGCAGAAGTTTGCAAGAGTACATACACTTTTACCTCTGGTCGCTTCTGTAGTCTAGCCACCTTCCCACAGTGACCCTCAGGTTCTGAGCCCCTCTGATTAGCCTGCGGCAAGGAGGGAAGTGGGGGCTGGGGATTAATTCCTCCTCCTGCTGACTTGGACTCCATCCATCACCCTGTTTACAGCCCGAGCCTCCTCTCGGTCCTGCACAGACTTCCCACTCTCATGCCAAGCCTGTCCCTACAGGTCTCCTTGTCTCCACCTGCCTCTCTCCTCCACGGGCAGCTCACTCTGCCAAGCCCGTCCGCCTCCCTGTCTCTGCCTCCTGCTGCTGCCTGGTGTGGGTGCCTCTCCCACTGTTCTTTCCTTCCCCCCTCTCTTTGTTCTTGGGGGGCTTACGCCTTTACATTTAGCTGGGGGTTCCAGTTGGCATACACGACAGTTGATCGACCCTGTCGAACCAGAGTCTGCAAAGGACTTTAATGACAGGGGTTGGGTTTACGTTACAAGGCCAGGTACAAAGTGCAGCGTGCAGAACTGTAGGTACGCTAGGTGGAAAAGAAACGAGACGGAGGGCACGCACCAATTCGGAAATAGTAGTTTTGGTAAGCTCCTGGGTGGTTTGTGTTTGCTGCGTGTTTTTCTATTTGCACAATAAACACAATATTTACAATCCGGTGGTTTGCAGAGGGTGGTGGGACCCAACCCTATATTAAGAAATGGTGATACTTAAGAGTGTTAGAACTGCTGAGGTTTGGGGGGAGGAAGAACCTCAGATCGGTCATCTGAAACCAGGGGACCTCTGTGAACGCCGTCTGGCCTTCAGGGAGGCCCGAGTCTCTGGCCGCTTTGCCTCTGTAGCCATCAACCCTTGTGACACCTGACCACCCACGTCACAGGCTCCCCTGGGGCTCTAGGCAGCCCAGGCTTGAGTCTACCCTTTGAAACTATGCATGTTTTCTTTTCCTCAGAAATACCTGAAGAAACAGGTCACACCCCTCTTCAATCATTTTGAAGATGCCACCAAGAACTGGACTCAGCGCCCAGAAAACCTGATGGACCAGTGAGTGTGACCTCGTCTGGGTCTGAAGGTCACAGGGGCCCAGCCACCCTGACCGGGGGAGTCCAGAGAAACACCCAGGCAATGTCCTCCTCTGGACCTCCCAACTCCTGGTCGGACTAGGACCACCAGGCAGGGAGTGACCCCCACCTAGGAGCGGGAGGCCCTGCCGGAGGCTCTTTGCACAAAGGACCAAACTGAAACTCTGAGGTCCCCTCACCGACTTGGTCATTGAGATTCTAGGTTTGGAAGCTGTGGGTCCCCAGGCTGCCCAGGGCACAGAGCAAAGGGAAACCCAGGGGACATGGTAGTCTGCAGCCTTAGCGCCTGGTCTGGCTGCTCTGCCTGGAGGCATGTGTCAGCTGGGGCGTCTTGGCCAGAGTCTGGGCCAGGCAGCTGACCGAGTGTCGCCCTGGACAGGTACAACGAGATTAACGCCATCAGCACCGCCTGCTCCAGTGGGCTTCCTGCGTGTGAGGCACTGGTGTCAAGACTTTTCTCCCAGTGGATGGCTAACCCCAATAATAACCCGTGAGTGTCCCCTTCTCCCCAATCTCCATTGGTCCCTCAAGCCCAGAGTCCTGTCTGCATCAGATCCTGGTCCCACCCTCCCTGCTGCTGCCCCACTGCTCCCCTCCACACCCCGCCAGGATCCACCCCAACCTTCGGTCCACCGTCTACTGCAACGCCATTGCCCAGGGTGGCGAAGAGGAGTGGAACTTTGCCTGGGACCAGTTCAAGAAAGCCACGGTGGTGAACGAAGCTGACAAGCTCCGAGCGGCCCTGGCCTGCAGCAAGCAGGTCTGGATCTTGAACAGGTGAGGACCTGCCGCCAGGGCTGGATTAGCTCCCTTCCCCACTGGGATCCCGAGGTGGAAGAGAAAGAACCAGTCACAGGTTCTTGTTCACGGGGTTCTCACAAAGCAGCACAGTGGGGCAGGATGTTCCCATTTTACAGACGAGGACACTGAGGCTCAGAGAAGCAAAGAAACTTGCTGAAGGTCTGGAAGCTTTAATCAGTGACAGAGCTAAGATTCAAACCCAGGTCTCCGGGCTCATGTCCTGTGCTTTTAACTGCTGCGGCCCCTCAGCCTCTCTTGACAGGGACTCAGTTTCCCTCTCTGTGAAGGGCTGTGGCACGGCTGGAGCTCAGTTCTTCTGGATGTCCAGCTGTGCACCCCCAAACCCTTGATGAGGGCTTTGGCTCCCACTGAGTGCCTCGTATGCCATCTCCTAGACCCTAGTAAAGAAGGGCCACCCTCAGTGTCAAAGACAGGAGTGGCCACCCTACCTGGTACAGGGTTCACAGCTCTGGTACTTCTTCCATCCTTCATTCACTGTCAGATATTTGTCAAATACCAGGTCCATGTCAGTCATGACACCTGGCAAAGCCAGTGACCCTGCATAGAGGCCTCAGTGTCCATTCTGCAAGAGGGAGGCAGGACCACGGGGTCTTCAGCCCTTGGCGTGCCGAGGGGATATCAAAGAATGCAGGAGAGGTGCGGGGGAGGGTGGGGTCCTTTGCAGGTCTGGGTTCTCTGTCAGATCATCTGACTGCAGCCCTTAGAAGTGGTCGCTAATGCAACATCCTGCCCTCACAGGTACCTGACCTACACCCTGAACCCTGAGCTCATCCGGAAGCAGGACGCCACCTCCACCATCAGCAGCGTCGCCAGCAATGTTATTGGGCAAAACCTGGCCTGGGACTTTGTCCAGAGCAACTGGAAGAAGCTCTTCAATGAGTGAGTTGGCTGAGAACATGTCAGGAGTGCCCTGAGGGTGGTCTTAGTGCGAGGAACACCGCAGGGTGGGCAGAGGAGGGGTGGGCACTGCATAGGAGTGGGGGCAGGAATTGAAAGACCAGGAGGGGTATGGGCCATCCCTTTTCCCACTTGGAGGAAAGAAAAAGTCTGGCTAGTAGGAGTGATCTCTGCAGAGATGGGAGCAAGGACACCATAGTGAAACTTGTGTTCACGTGTTCTTGGGTGTGCCATCCACCTCATCCACAAGATGGACCAATCACAGGGCAGTTGTGAGGATACCGTGTTGCCTGTCAGTCACTGAGTGTTAGTTCCCGCCCTCCTCACGGTTCATCTCTCTCCTCAACCTGCAGTTATGGCGGTGGCTCCTTCTCGTTCTCCAACCTCATCCAGGCAGTGACTCGACGGTTCTCCACCGAGCATGAGCTGCAGCAGGTAAGAAGCCCTGGACCTGGGGGCCCATCCCCAGTCTGAGGGGGCAGCTGCCATTCAGCTCCCACCAAGTGTGGGCATAGGGAATGTGGGCTCCTTGTTGTCAGGCCTCCCCCATTTATAGGGGAAGCTGGGTGTCCAGACTTTTAAAATGGTGACGGTTCAATTAAAAAAGTTTATTTTGGAATTTTTGTACAGGCAGAAAAGAAAGAGAAAATCACGAACTTCCATGTACCCATTATCTAGATTGCACACTTATCAACATTTTCCCGACACTTTTTTGGAGGTGGATAATTTTCAGGCAAATCACTTACATTATATCATTTTACCTCTAAATACTTTAGTCGTATCTAAAACAAAGGAATTTTAAAAACATTATCTTACTGTTATTAACAAACTCAAGAAAATTAATAATCATCCTATACTCAGGCTGTTTTCAAATTTTCTACATTTTTTAAAAAATTTATTTTTGCCACTGATATGTTTGACTTAGAAGCCAAAGTTAACTCGTTGCATTAGGTTGATGTCTTTTTTAAAGAACTGAGATATAATTCATGTGTCGTAAAATTCACCATTTTAAGTGGTTTTTAGTATATTTACAAGGTTGTGCAACCATCACCACCATCTAATTCTAGAACGTTTGTATTACTCCCCCCAAAACCCCAGAACATTAGCAGTCACTCCCATCCCCTGTCCCCAGCCAGCCACTAACCTATTCTCTGTCTCTATGGATTGCCCATTCTGGACATTTCATATAATGGATGCATACAATATGTGGGCTTTTGTGTCTGGCTTCTTTCACTTAGCATAATGTTCCCAGTGTTCGTCCATGTTGTAGCCTGTGCCATTCCTTTTCATGGCTGAGTCATATTCCATTGAATGGATGTACCCCTTTTGATTTTTCATTGACCAGCTAGCTGATAAGCATTCGGGTTGTTTCCACCTTTTGGTTATTATGAATAACACTGCTATGAACATTCATATACACATTTTTAAGCAAATACAATATGTTTTCATTTCTCTTGGGTATGCACCTAGGAGCGGAATTGGCGGGTCTTTGGTAACTCTATGTTTAACTTTTTGATAAACTGCCAAAATGTTTTCCAAAGCAACTGCACCAATTTACATCTCCACCAGCAATGTGCAAGGGTGCCAATTTCTTTATGTCTATGTGGGCACTTGTTATTTTCCTTGTTTTAAAATTTTTTATTATAGACATCCTGGTGAGTGTGAGTGGTACCTCACTGTGGTTTCCACTTGGATTTCCCTGATAATTAATGATGTTGATTACCTCTTCATGTGCTTATTGGCCATTTGCATATCATCTTTGGAAAATGTCTATTCAAAACCTTCACCCACCATTTTTAAATTGGGATATTTGTCTTTTTATTGTTGAGTTGTAAGAGTTCTTTATGTATTTTGGATGCTAGACCCTAATTAGATACATGGTTTACATATACAGTCTCCCATTCTGTGGATTGCTTTTTCACTTCCTTGGTAATTAGTATCTTTTGATACATACGTGTTTTTTTTTTTATTTTGATGAAGTCCAACTTTCTAAATTTGTTGTTGTTGTTGTTACTTAATGCTTTTGGTGTCATATCTAAGAAACAATCGCCTAATCCAAAGTCACAAAGATTTACACCTATGTTTTTTACTAAGAGTCTTATCATTTTAGATCTTACATTTAGGAATTTGATCAGTTTTTTATTGTTTTTTTTTTAATCCTCACCTGAGGAAATTCTTGCGTTTATCTTCAGATAGAGCAGGAGGGAGAGAGGGAGGAAGAGAGAGAGAGAAACACCAGTGTGAGAGAGACACATCGAGTGGTTGCCACCCACACAACCCCAACCAGGGCTGGGGACAAACTGCAACTGAGGTACGTGCCCTTAGTGGGAACTGAACCCGGGACTCTGGTCCGCGGGCCGACACTCTAACCGCTGAGCCAAACTGGCCAGGGCGGTCTTTGATCAGTTTTTACTTAATTTTGTATATGGTGTAAGGTAGGGGTCCAAGTTCATGCCTTTCCATGTGCTATTCAATTGTTCCAGGACCATTTGTTTAAAAGACTTTCCTTTCCCCCATCAAATGGTCTTGGCACCCGTGTAGAAAATCAACTGACTGTAACCCGGCCAGTGTGGCTCAGTGGTTGAGCATTGACCCACGACCAAGAGGATGCTGGTTCAATTCCCACTCAGGGCACATGCCCAGGTTGTGGGCCCGATCCCCCGTTGGGGGCATGCAGGAGGCAGCCAATCGATGTTCTTTCACATCGATGTTTCTATCTCTCTCTCCCTCTCTCTTCCTGTCTCTCTAAAATCAATAAAAAAAAAATAAAGTAAATCTTAAAAAAAAAAAAAGGCTAAGGACTTGGCCCCAGGGGAGGGGACAGACTGGCCCTTCCCGTCCTGAAGAGCAGGAGTGGGAGGACCGAGGCCTGGGCCCCCTCCTCCCGGCTGTGTTAGAGACCCGGCTGGGCTGAGACCTCCTTTTCCTGGCAGCTGGAGCAGTTCAAGAAGAACAACATGGACACCGGCTTCGGCTCAGCCACCCGGGCCCTGGAGCAAGCCCTGGAGAAGACCAAAGCCAACATCAAGTGGGTGAAGGAAAACAAGGATGTGGTGAACAGCTGGTTCACAGCCAACAGCAACTAGTCCCCGGTGCCATTGCCTGGCCCCACGTGAGATGCCCACAGGTGTCTGCCGCAGTGGCCCACCAGGGGCCCCGTTCCTGGAGCCTGAGGCTCCAGCATTCTCCCCTCAGGGACTAAGTCCTAGCCCCCCAGTTCTCTCTCCTCGGCCTGTGGGGCCAGTCCAGCTCCTGATGACAAGCCCTTCCAAGCACCTCCCAGCCCTGCCCCTCGTGCCAACTGCACCCCAGGCCTGGCGTGGCTCTTGCCGCCCAGGCCCTGGGGCTGATCTCAGGGAAGCCCAGCTCCAGGGCCAGAGGAGCAAAACCCTAGGTAGACTGTGGATGACCTTGGAGCTGCCTCGCGCCCTCTCACCTTCCCATGAAGACCCTGAACCTGGGGGCTCAACAGGACACCAGATCTGTATATTTTTTTTCTAAGAGAAAATATAGATAAAGGATTTCTAGATGAGCTTCCAGAGTCATTACTAAACAGAACAGGAGCGGGGGTCTGCACAGCAGTTGGGGACACTGGCTGGAGGGAAGCCGGGTGTATGGGCAGCACTGTGGGGTCTGGGATGCCCAGGGAACACGGGAGGGAAGTGCCTCCCTGCTGGTCCTTTCTGCAAAATACCCACATGCACTGTCAGCCCGCACGTGGCAGGCCGGAGAGGCTGGGCACTGGGGAGCCATGGGAGGCGGACGGCAAGCACAGGTGCAGTGTTCCCATGGTGGGGTGGGGAGAGCGGGGCTTGGTGCCAGGCCAGAGCAGGTCCTGCCGGTGCCCCTCCTGCAACGCAGTCAGCACACCTGGGACAGTGAGGGCACGGGGCTTGTACCGACAGCAGCAAACCCTGGGTCCCAGGCCTGGTGCGACCACTTGCTAGCCAAGGGCACGTCCCGACACCACTCCAGGATCCACGCTGGATGGGTGCGATGTTGGTTCATAACCTGGTTGTTTTCAAGAGTAGATTACTGAAAAAGGCAGGTGCCCCTGATCACCTTGGGGAGCCCAGGGCCAGGGCCAACTCTGAGGAGAAGGCCTGGGACCCCTGGGCTCCATGGCCTACAACACTGGACTTGCTGGGAATTTCTTGGCAAACAGACCTAGGTGGTCGGAAGCCTCCCTGGACCTCAGTCCCACAAGGTCCAACTGAGCCTCAGAGGCTGGGAAGAAGAAAGGGAGGTCACAGACAGAAGGCCTACAGGGCTCCAGCTGCGGGGCCTTGGAGCCCAGAGGCCTGGTTTCAGGTCATGTCAGCCACTGTTTCTTGGACAAGTGACCGAAACTCCTGGGCTTTGGTTTTGTCATCTGCACAATAAAGAAGATTGATCCTAGGCTTGGTGTGTGGATAGGAGGAGTCCTATACTTGGCCGGATAGGTAAGAGCTGGCTGTTTGGATCCTCAGCCCTGTCTCTGGGCTCAAGGCCCCACCCACCCACTGGTGTCTGCACATCAAAGGGTGGGGCGGGGCCAGCAGGGGGCAGGTGTCCCTTCACCAACCAGGTCCCCTCTGGGCCAGCCCTTCCTGTCGCCAGCGCCCAGCAGCAGTGGCTGGCACTTGACCTTCTCAGCCCCACCACCTAGTGTCCCTGGGGGACAGCTGCCCTCCAGGGAAAAGTCTGCAAGGATCCCAGTCTCTGGGCACTGAGCTCAGCATTTATGCGCATTATTTCATTTGGTTCTCAACAGTCCCTGGAGATAAGGACAGTCTTTATCTAGGTTTTATTGATAAGGAGACTGAGGCTCGAGGAGGTTAAGTCACAACTCGTAGAACTGGAAGGAGACTGGAAGACGGGCTCTCAGGCTCCTGCAGGAGCAGAGCCTGTCTCCATTTAGAGCTGAGGCAGGGGCCCTGACAGCCCCACGTTACCCGTTTAGGCCGCTTGACAGCTCACAGCTCTGGCATTCCTAAGGCCCTGTGTGGCTGGAGGAAACCGGTTCCTGGGCTGAGCAGGAACACACGCAGAGGGAGACCTGCCTGCAGAACCTTGCTCAAGGTCACACACAGAGCAGCTAGAACCCAGGTTGCTCCCTCCCTGTCCAGCGCCCAAGGCCACGGGGAAGGCAGGATCTGAGGATCAGTAAGCAGCCCGGGTACAGTGCCCACTTCCCCCTCGCCCCCCTCCAGGACGCTCCTCAGGAGGCATGTTCTCTACACTGTGGAGACATTGAAAGGCCTAAATGAGGCACTCAACAAATGTCCGGTCGCACAGAATGTGACTGGGGTCCCCAGGAAGGTGTGGGTGGACCAGCCACCCCAGGCAGGGCACTGGCATCGGCACTTCTCCCCGCCAGTCACTTAGCAGAGAGGGGCCACCAAGAGCAGCGTGCCTGGGATGGAGCCATGGACAGATGCGGGGGGTGGGGGCAAGGGGCAGGGCTTAGCCTTCTCTCCAAGGGTGAGGACGGGTGGGGTAGCTCAGTTCTCTTGGGCCCTGCTCCCTGGACTCCAGCAGCACCTGGGCTGTCTCCCAGGCAACTCCAGCTGGGGTGGTGGCAGCCTCTTGCCTCTGTCTTGACACCTCCTAGAGTCACACCTCTTGAGGGGACCTGGAAGAGCAAAGCTGCCAAGTTCTAGAAAACACAGCTCTGGCTGCTGCTGGTAAAGGCCAGGACTCTCTTGGGCTCTGCTCCAGCCCTTGAGGGCTTCGGAGCTGGGGGAGTGTGACCATGGGTGACTGGAGCAGGGATACCCCTCTCTGTCCCTATAAAATTAACCCCAGGTGGGTGGGAGCCAAAGGAAAGAGATGGGCAGGTGTTCATTCTGCCTTTGGTACAGATGCCATGAGACCGGAGCCAAGACCTTGGGTTTCCTTGGGAAGAGGGCACTGGATGGCGAGTCAGGGCCCTGACATCCACACCCAGTTGTGGGGTTGATAGAGTCTGTAGAGAGGTACTTAAAGTAAAATGAAGTCATATGGCTGGGCCCTAATCCGATATGACTGGTGTCCTTATAGGAAAAGGAGACTGACACAGACACACAGGCCAAGGGGTGACCATGTGAGTACACAGTGAGAAGGTGGCCACCTGTAAGCCAAGGAGGCCTCAAACGAAACCAAACCTGCTCACACCCTGATCTGGGACTTCTGGCCTCTAGAACCGTGAGCAAACAGATGTCTATTGTTAAGCCACCCAATTTGTGGTATTCTGTTGCCTGGGGGCCACTCACAGGCATCTTTTGAAAACAATTTCATATCATTGTGGAAGAGTCCTCTGGGTCAGCAGGAATGCACCCAGAATAGAAAAGGGCACCAGTGGTGGTGAACAGATCTAAGTGTCAACCTACCTGTGCCACCTTGCCCAGCACACCAGGTGCAGACCCTGCCACAATAAACATGGTCAAATTGGCAAGTGAGGGCCCACATCAACCTTGGTAGGGGATGACTTGTTCCCCACAAGATGGGAACATTTTTGTCTTTCCCAGAGGCTATAAAAACTCAAGTTGATAGAAGAAAAACAGACCAAAGCACATTTAAAAAAAATTTTTTTTTTTTAATCCTCACCCGAGGATATTTTTCCATTGATTTTTACATAGAGTGGGAGGGAGGGAGGAAGAAAGAAATATCGACGTGAGAGACACATCGATTGGTTACCTCCCACACGACGCCAACCAGGGCTGGGGATCAAACCGCAACCGAAGTATATGCCCCTGACTAGAATCAAACCTGTGACTCTTTGGTCCGTGGGGTGGCGCTCTAACTGCTGAGCTGAACCGGCCAGGGCTATTGTTGTTGTTTTTTTCAAAGAATCAAAATCAAAGCATACAGGGGTACACTATCACCCTACTCCACTCCCCTAATCCATCCCATCAGTCCCAGCCCTGCCAACTTCCTGGTCAAGCAGCCACTGTCTTGCTGCAGCTTAGGCTGCGCTCTTCAGGGCGTGGTCATTTTGGGGGGTGTCTAGGAGCAGAGGGCACTGCCCCAGCCCCAACTCCAGCCAGGGAGGCCACCAACTATCTGTTTCAAACACTGCTTCCATGAAAGACATCACTTGGAAAAGGGATCCTTGGCTAAAGGAAAGCTTGAAAACCAGACGTCGGAAATGAGGGGGGCGCCCACACTACAGGCCTGATTCCTAGCTGAAAAGGGGACAGGAAAGGCCATTAGAAGAAGATGTTCAGGTGGCCCCCTTCCAAATCTTCTTGCCAAAGTTCAGGACAGCCACTGAGCTGCAGGCCTGAGCTCTGGAGAGGGCTTTCATCACTGAAATGGAAGGTGGAGCCTGGTCCCTGGTCCTCTGAGTTGGGGAGCACCTCTGCACTGTGGCTCCAGTATCCCCACTGGGTCTGAGGCTGGAGTCTCTGGCATTCTGGGCCGGGCAGGAGGTGTGAGGTTTCTGCCAACAGACAGGACTCCGGAGACACAGAGATACCCTGCAAGAGAGACAAGAGCAGCTGGTTAGCAGGCTGTAGCCTGATGCCCTGAGAGTTGGAACCTGGATGCTCCCCAGAGTGTGGTTGACAATTTCTGAACAGCCCTGGCATTCTGAATGCAGTGAAGCAAAGTGGTTAAGAGTGTCGACTCTGAACTGCCAGGATTCAAAGCCCAGTTTCACTATTCACAAGCTCCAAGAACGCAGTTGACCACTTTTAGTCTCCGTTTTCTCGTCTGCAAAATTGGGATGATGATAATACCTACTTCATAGTCTGCTGGAGGGCAGAATGAGTCAATCCATCTACAGTACCAAGAATGGTGTTGGGAACACAGCATTAAATACATTTTGGTTACTGATATGCTACTTTGTGGACCATGATTCATGGGATTCATGAATGAATGAAGTTTGAAGGAAACATAAAGGTCACCAGTTCAAAGCCCATGGATCAGGAAGCCCCTAATCCTGAGGCCTCTGGGCCTCCCTCCCTCCTCCCAACCCTTATTGGAGCCCTTGGATTGTGGCCCCTGCCACCTCCAAAGGCCAGGGTGCAAGGAGCGTCCTCCCTCTTCGGCAGGGTGTGATGACTTCTGGGTGTTGGTGGTAGAGGCCTTAACTCCCCAGGGCCCCACGTCTTTCCCCAAGCAGGTTAGCGCCCTCTCCATCCTCCCTAACCAAGGTGGGTTAGGTAATCGGCATCTTAAAAAGTATGGGGACCTCTGCAGACTACAGCCTACCCACCCCGTCCATTTCCAACGGAAGCCTGGGCACGGTACCTGGTACACTGCAGCCGGCTCCCGGGCGGCGGGGGGTGGTGCCCAGGGCGTGGCCTGGGTCCCGGGCTGGGGGGGTGTCTGGGTTCCGGAACCGGCTTGGGGCGGCGTCCAAAGGGCCGCATCGGGGGCCCTCCCTTGGGGCACTTGCGGAAGCGACTGCATCCCGGGACAATAACGGGGTGAGACCCAGGGACCCACGTCGGAGACCCTGCTTCCCAAGCGTTCGGGAGCCTCTGGGGCGCCGGGACAGGCGGGTGGGGGTCCCCAGAACTCCCCGACGGGAGTGGCTGAGCCCAGCACGCGGCCGCGCGCCTGCGCCTGCGCCTGCGCCTGCGCGGGGCCGCCGTCGGGGCAGAGCGGGCAGCCCCGGGGCAGCGCCGCGTCGCTGCGGCGCCGGCGCCGGCGCTGCAGGCTGTCCTCGCTGAGGCCCAGCACGGCCGACAGGTGGCCGATGTAGCGGATGGCCAGGCGCAGCGTCTCGATCTTGGTCAGGTTCTGGCCGGCGGGCGCCACGGACGGCGGGAGGAAGCGGCGCAGCTCGTGCAGGGCGCGGGCGAGCGTGCGCATGCGCAGCTTCTCGCGCTCGCTGGCGCTCTGCCGCTGCCCGCCGGCCGGGGCGGCGCGCGCTCGTCCGGGCGCCGTCGGGGCGGCCGCGGGGGCGCGGGCGCCGCGGGCGCCGTCGCAGGGGCACGAGCCCGACGAATCCGAGGAGGAGGCCGGGGACGTGGAGTCCGAGTGCCCGGCCCAGCCCCAACCCTGGGGTAAGATCCAGTGGTCGAGGGTCTGCAGAGGAGGGGACTGGGCCATGGCCGGCCGCGGGCTCCGGGAGGCTGGGTCGGCCACCTCCGGGCCTGAGCTTTTATCCGGACCGAAGGTGCAAGGTGGCCCCCCGCCAGGTTACAGAGAGGTGTCAAAACCCACAGAGCCCAGGGAAGGCCTGGGCAGGGGGGCTCTGGGAAAGCGGGCCCATTTGCGGAGGTGTGGATTCTGACTCCTCCGGGGCTCTAATGGAGGCCCCTGCAGCCCGGGAAGTGTGGGAGCGACAGTTCGCATCTGGATGGAGCTGCTAAGCTTCTCACCGGGTCCCCACCCACCCCGACCCGTCCGCTGCAGGGTGAGTGCCCAGGCGTCCGACCACGGCGGGCAGTGCCATCGTCCCCGGGCACCCAAGCCGGCCCTCGAGTGACTCATGGACCCCTGCGAAGAGGGGCCGCCTCGCTCATCACCGGTCCCCGGGGGGCTGTGCCCAGTAACTTACACCCAGGGCCGACAAGTGTGCCTGTAAGACAAGCCCCGGGGGACCTGCCCACAGTGATGGGGTGGGGGTGGGGGTCCATGCAGGTGGACCCCTCCCGGGTTCTTTGGAACCTGCACCTGCTGATTTGCCGAGTGACACCAAGAAAGTCATCTCACTGCCCACAGTTAATTCCTGTTCCAGAGAAATAGAACAGAGCAGCCTGGAGAAGGAGAATGCATGAGGTGCAGCGGGTGAGGAAATGGGGGAAGGTGGGCCTCCCAGGCCTCCCAGAGTCAGACCCTCTTGATTTGCTGGGTGACGTTGGGCAAATGACCGAACTCCTCTGAGGCTCAAGTGTCCTCATCCTCAGCAATAATACCAAATACTAGCCGGGATAGTTGGGAGTAGTAGGTGGAACCATCCACCGAACCTCTTAGTGTGGGCCTGGCACGTGGGCTAAATGTTTGGTGCTATCATTTTATAAAGAAGGTTCTGTGCTCGCTTCGGCAGCTCATATACTAAAGTTGGAACGATACAGAGAAGATTAGCATGGCCCCTGCGCAAGGGTGACACGCAAACTCGTGAAGCGTTCCATATTTTTTGGACAACAATCTGGGGAAGGGGCAGGGAGGGAGGGGGGAATCAGTGGGGGGAAAAGGAGAAACATCTGTAACAAAAATTAATCAATAAAAAAATAAAAATAAAAAAAAAAGAAGGTTCTTACGTGTCAAGATGCTCATAGGCATTGTTCACATAGTCGGTGTTTATTTAGCAACTGGTAGATGTCAGGCACACCAGGGCGAACAAGCCAAGTGTGTTCTCTGCTCTCCTGAGATTTCCGTTTTGTGGGAGAGATGACTCAACGGGCCATTATATAATTAGCAGGCCCACCACTAACTAGCTGTAGGTCCTTGGGCAGAGCCCTTCTGCTCTACAAAACAGGAATAATAATTGTGTATCTACTCACAGGACTGTTACAGTCTCATAGTGTACACCTGGACATGGTAAAGTTTATCAAGGAACACCTCTCACCCCTCAGCAATAATTACAGTTTAAAGGAGGCGTCAGCCCTGGAACAGTTCCGTGGGTTCGGTTTCTGATACCCAAGTTGCAGGTTCAATCCCATGTCGGGGGGGGGGGCACATGTGTGAGGCGACTGATCAATGTTTCTCTCACAACAATGTGTCTCTTCCTCTCCCTTCCCCTCTAGAATCAATGAAAACCATATCCTTGGGTGAGGATTAAAAAAATAATAAAAATAAAAAATAAAGGACGCGCCCAGCTGGTGTGGCTCAGTGGTTGAGCATCGACCCAGGCACCAAGAGGTCGCCAGTTTGATTCCTGGTCAGGGCACATGCCCAGGTTGTGGGCCTGATCCCTAATGAGGACATGTTCCCTCTCATCGATGTTTCTATCCCTCTCCCTTCCTCTCACTAAAAACCAATAAATAACGGGGGGGGGGGGGGGGGAGGAAGGGCAGGAGGTGCAGATAGACCTTCAATGATGAAATTACAATACTTTCTCCTCAGAACTTATTTTAAAATATGTATATTGGAGAAAAGATGCACATGTTACCACTGTAACATTATGATGAAGTAATCGACCTGGTGTAACGTACGTCAGGACAACTGTTGTTTGGTCTATTGAAGCTGCTATGAATGAGGAGAAGAAACTTTAATTTATCCATAACACAAAAAGAAGATGGAATCAGTTAACCATGCCTGATTTCAAAGAGGCTTTCTTTGGAAAGAAGCAGTCAGTTATGCAGCATTTCATGACTTAAAAGGGTTTAAACCAAGGTTAAAGACAAAACAAATCTACTTTTTCCTGAGGGCAGTGTGGATTTAGAAACAGTCCTGCACTTTTATTTTTTAATCGTCACCTGAGGATATATTTTTATTGCTTTTTAGAGAGAGAAGGGGGAGAGAAACATTGATTGGTTACCTCCCGCCTGCGCCACAACCAGGGTTGGACCTGCAACCCAGGTATGTGCCCTGATGGGAATCAGGCCTGAAACCTTTTGGTGTGTGGGATGATGCTCCAACCAACTGAGCCACCCAGCCAGGGCTTCCTACGCTTTTGAGGTTGAAATAATAGCAAATGCAAATAATTATTTATTCATCCGAAGATGTACAGTACTATAAAGCTCAGACAGATTGTACTGTCAAGGAGTTTGTAGACATGGAATTGACAGTCGTAAACAAAATTCATCAGATTTCATATAGATATATTTCTGGCTCTGGGTTCTGAAGTTTCAATGTGTCCTTGATCTTGAGCTTTCCAACTTGCCCTTTTTAACTGCTGTATATTATTCCACAGCAAGCTCACATCATAGTCAGTCCTTTATTGATGCACCTTTGGCATGTTATTAGTTTTGGCCAAACAGCGCTGCCTTGTGCACAGGGGGCTTGATTTGGAGTGGTGAAGTAGTCTTGTGACCTCCAGGAAGGTTCTAAATACCCAGAATTATTCCTCCCTTCTCCCATCCCACTGTGACCCATCAGAGCCAGTCAGGAGGGATTTCCGGTGAAAGGATTTTGTGGATAATAGGAGTCCACCTAGCACTGAGCCCTGCATTCCCCTCCCCCCCCTTTATTGATTTGAGAGAAAGGAAGGAAGAGGGAGAGAGAGAGAGAAACATCGATGAGCAAGAACATCGATTGGCCGCCTCCTGCATGTCCCCCTACTGGGGATCAGGCCTACAACCGGGGCATGTGTTCTGACCAGAAATTGAACCGGCAACCTCTTGGTGCATGGGTCGACCCTCAACCACTGAGCCACACTGGCTGGACGAGCCCTGCATTCTTTTTCCTCTCTAGGATAGCTTAGTCTTCTGTTTTGGTTTGGGCTAGCCCCAGAGCCCGGGCCGTAGACTGACTCTGGGATGTCAGAGCATACGTTCTGGAAGGTGGGGCCCTGGGCCTGGTTTGCTGTGGCCCCTGGCTCTTCACGGACCTCAAAGCCAGGCTCTGCGGCCCAGAGGCACACTGTTGCCAGCCTTACTCGCTGGGGAGAGACCAAAGTGCATCCTTTCACTGGGCCTCCCTTTTGAGGAGGGAAGGAGTATAGCTTAATGGTTAGGGGGCCAGGCTGTGGAATCAAACAGACCTGGTTTTTAGAGTCTCAGCGATACCCTTGAACTGCTGAGGAGGTAGATAGTGCCTAGAAAACATGGTCAGTAGAATGTTTACAAGTATGGCAGGGACTTGTAGTCCACACAGCATGTGTTACAGCCTTTATTCTTTCTTCCTTAATAATAGGACCCTGTATTATTGGGGATGGTTATATGCCCAGCTAAAAACCTAACAGTTCCCAGCCTCTCTTGCAAATGGAATGGCCAGTGAAATGTTGGTGGACGTATTGGATGGGGCTTCTAGGAAAGCTCTTTAAAGCAGGGAGGTATATTCCTGTGGCTCTAACCACTTATATTTTCTTTCTCTCTGGAAAATAGATGTGATGGCTATAGCTTCAGCAACCATTTTGTGACCCTGAGGCAATCTCAAGAACAGAAGTCACACACTAAGGATGGTGAAGCAGAAAGAAGCCCGAGGGATCAGTGACAACATGGATGTGCCACACTAACCTAGGACTGTCTACCCATGAGCTTCTTTAATGTGAGAGGAAATGAATCACCATCTTGTTTAAGTCATTGTCATTTTGGGTATGTGCTGTGAGCAGGCAGACACAATTCCTGTCCACATAATGAAGTTCCTAGGGTATCCCTGTGAACAAGTGGGGTCATGTGAGCTGGCTGACAGTCCAGTTAAGTGAATTCATAATAGATTCATTGTTCCCACAGATGAATGGATGAATGTTCCCCTGGAGGAAGGTCCCTAGTGATGTGCCACCAGCTCTGTTCTCAGTCTTGTCATAGGTAGATCATGATCTTGAGTGAAGATATGAACAGATCTAATGTAGGATAAGATCCAAACCCAAGAAGTGAATTGGGTAACAGCTAGGATCTAAGAGATCCTGACAGGCTAGAAGGGCCCAGCAGGTTTAATAAAGTGGAATCAGTGGAGCCCTATGTGTCCTCCCTCCCTCTAAGTTCAGGGTCAGGGGGCATCATGTAACCAGCATCACATTTGAAAGGGCGTGGCAGCCAGTGCCTTCCAAGCATCAAGGGCCCAGGAAGCAAATCCCCTTCCCATTCACAGCACACAACGTCTTCGACAGCGAGGCTGGTCCCTTATTCCCTTGGGCAAGTGGTCAGACCTGGGGCCACAAGGTATGAGGGATGGAGACAGACTCGGGAGGGAGACTGCTGATGGGATTGAAGCCAGGTCACTAGAGAAATAGCTAGTGGACTCAGGAGTGTTTTATCAAAAAAAAAAAAAAGGAGATGCGATGTTGTCTCCAGATGCCTGGAGGGGAATACTCCAGGGAGAGGCTGTCCTGAGAGTGAGTAGCCTGTTCCTGGAGGTGGTCAAAAAGAGGGCAGACAACTGCATGGTAGGCACATACAGTGCAGGGGAAGGTTGCTACTGCCTCTGCCAACCCTGACGAACCTCATCAAACAGAGAGTTGGACCTGACGATCCCGAGGTCCTTTTAGAGCTGAAGGCAAGAGT